AAAAAAAAAAAAACAAGTTTTGTTATGCATCAATCTTCTTATCATTTTGTATAACTTAAGAGCCTAACCCAAGTGAGCTCAACAAACTCTCAATCATAAATAAGGCAAATGTATACTTCTAAATCCTTATAGTGAACTTGGTACCTATATACAAGGCATTACAAGATTGATCGATCATACCTTTAATAACACAATATGTAAGGTAAGATTGATCGATCATACTATTAATAACACAATATGTTATGAGACTTAGGTATTGCAAAATCAATCAATCATACTATTACTAACACAATATGTTATGAGATTTGAGTTTTAATTTTCATATATATGAACTCTTCAACAAAAGAGAACCCAAAGAAAAACACGAACAAGGTCTGTGTACGTGTTATTATATATTATAATTTTTTTTATAAAAACACTAAAATTCAAAATAAAACCATAAATAAACATTTTAATTTTTTTTATAAACACACTATAATTCAAAATAAAAACCTTAAATAAAAATTTTAAAAATTTTTATAATTACACTATAATTCAAAAATAAAACCATAAATCTATATGTATATAAAGAGGGAGTTGATGGAATTTATTGCTAAATATAGATGATATGCGATGACTATAATTGGCAACATTTCTACATTTGGTTGGATAATTGTAAAGTTAATTATTTTTGTTAAGAATGCCAAATAATTATGGGAAATACATTAACATAACTAAATTCGTATTCAATTATTTTTGGTAAATTTTAAGAATAGAAAATAATAATTATAAGTTAACTTACTCAATTCATTATGTTTGAAAATATATTAATATTCTTTTACTATATATTTAAAAATATATAACATCAACCATATTCCAAAATTTGATACCTTAAATATATTTAATATCATGAACTCTACATATGTCATTACTATATTTTTTAAGGCAACAATATTAGTTTATGCTAACATAACCATACGTATTAGTTTATTCTAATATTACGCATAGATCCAATAAAACATGTTAAAAAAAATATTTATTATGAATAACCTATTTAAATTAAGTTATTAGATGAATACATGATAATGATGAATGCTGGCAAAATTTTAAAAATGATACACCAAGTTGAACGTTGTCAACAAAATAGATATTTTGTTGTTCCTCGCGGAAAAGAAACATGTAGTTGGCGATTTGGCAGTAAAAGATATATTAATCACCCCACCTGAATAAAAAAGCTGGCATGGCCGAATGAGGTAGTGACATTATAACTTTCTTTATTTTCTTACATGTTATATACGTGGCGTGATGTGACATCATTATCTCCGAATACACAACTACACATAGATAAATAAAAATAAAATAAAAAATCCAAAAATAAATAAATATAAAGACACATCAGCAAAAAAAATAAAAATAGTTATAATAATACTAAAAATAAAAAAATAGAAAAATTAAAAAAAAAATCCAAACATAAAAAAAATATATTTTGTTCTATTTCCTTAACTATATATTAATAAAATAGTCTAAAACTTATAATTCGTTAATATATATTAAAACTTATTAAAAAAATAAAAAATACTTTGTTAATATTTCGTTAAATATAAATATATTCGCTAATATATATTAAAAAAATATTTTGTTAATAATAATAATTATATATAATTTATTATTAATTATATTATCTAATATAGTAGTTTACATAAAATTTTATTTACTTAATATATATAAGTATTAAATATAAATCACAAAATATAAATTTATATTAAAAGATTTATTTTAATTTATTTCAAAAATATATATCTAAAAAAATATATTTTAATTTTATTTAAATATAAATTTATATTTATATTTAATATACTTATATATATTAAATAAATAAAATATTATGTAAAGTATTATATTAGATAGTATAATAAATTATATATAATTATTATTATTAATGAACTACATTTTTCTTTTTTTAGTATTTTTTAATATATATTAGTGAAATATATTTATATTAAACACTATATTAGCGAAATATTTTTTTTAGTTTTTAATATATATTAACAAAATATAAATTTTTTGAATATTTTATTAATATATAGTTGACAAAATAGAACAAAATATATTTTTTCTATTTTTTTATTTTTTTATTTTTGGATTTTTTCTATTTTTTCTTTTTATTATTATTATTATTTTATTTTTTTGATGTGTTTTTATTATTTGTTTATTTATTTATTTTTGGATTACTTTTATTTTTATTTATCTATGCGTAGTTGTGTACTTGGAGAGAAGGATGACATATCACGCCACGTAGGAAATTAAGGAAATTTATAATGTCACGTCATTATCTAATCCGACCACGTCAGTTTTTTATCCAGGTTGAGTGATTAATGTATCTTTTCCGACCAAATTGTCAACTAAATATTTCCTTTCCGTGAGGGACAACAAAATGTTTGTTTTGTTGACAACGCCAACTTAGTGTATCATTTTTGAAATTTTGTCGGTGAATGTTTAACAAAATACTTGAATCATATTAATGTCAATAAAAATAAGCATTATTATTGGTGAATGCTTAACAAAACACACCCAAACTTACCAAGATACTTGAGTACAGAATAGGAGTAATTCACGCCATAAATCTCATATTCAAAATCTGTGTCATTATATTGTTCTCTCATATTCAAATCCGATGGTGGTGTTGATTTCTTGCATGACCTGCACACTCTGGAGTTCTTAAACAGTATAAAATGTTCTGGTGTTCCAAATCATGAATTGCACTTAAAGATTGGGACTCATGTCATGTTGTTGAGAAACATTGATCATTCAATTGGACTGTGTAATGGAACACGTTTGGTGATAACGAAGCTTTTCACTCACGTGTTTGAATGTAAGATTCTAACAAGATCAAATGCTGGACATAAGGTATTGGTACCATGACTCTCCCTAACTCCATCTGAAGATACCCTTCAAGTTCCAGCGTAGACAATTTACTCTTATGTTTTCTTACGCAATGACAATCAAACAAAAGTCAAGAGCAGTCGTTATTCCATGTCGGACTTTACATGAAAAGACTGGTGTTTATTAGTCCTGGTCAATTATACGTTGATGTGTCTCGAGTCACTAATCCACAGGGATTGAAGATATTAATATGTGGGGGGACGATAATGGGGAAAAGAAAACTACTAAAAATGTTGTCTATCGAGAAGCTTTTCAGAATTTGTAATACTATATAATATTGTACTTTTACTATCTATTCAATAATAATGTTATTTATTTGTCATTTACTTTTTATGATATATATATATATATTAATGTATTTATTAAAATATTTTAATAAATATGTTCCGTGCATCGCACGGGTGAATATACTAGTAAACTAATAATAGACGAGTTATAAACAAAAAGACTCTTTCCAATTGGCCCACTTATCCAAGCCCAATGTTGAAGCTTATTTGGTGTGATTATTAGATCCAGCTTTGTTATGTTCTCTAATTGTGTTTTTAATCTTTCTATTTAACCTTCGAAAAGGCTGAATTTTCTTAATTGCCATTTTCTTGAGGAACAATACACCGGCACTGTTTGACAAACCCCAAAATACCCCTATCATTTACCTTTATTCCTCGTCCAATAAATACATCAACGGTCCACAATCAATCTCAGCCCAATCCAAACACATCGACGGATGGCATTTTTCGAGAAAAACACGCCAAAAGCGAGGCCAACACAAATAGGGCTCTTGGCAAAATTTATACTATAAATTTTTCTCTCTCCACATTTTCTCTCTCTAGGTTTTTTCTTCTAAATTACTGACGAAGACGAACAATGGTGGGCAAGGGACCTGGACTGTACTCCGATATCGGCAAGCGAGCTCGAGGTGAGGTTTTGATTTGATCGCCTTTTGAGTTTCAATCGTTCGATCTGTTATTCGTTTTTTTGGTGTTTTGATTTCTGTTTTTTCGGTTTAGATCTGCTGAATAGGGATTTTCAGAGCGACCAGAAGTTGACAGTCACCACCGTCTCGCCCACCGGAGTTGTAAGTTGATTTTTGCGGTGGTTTTATGGATGTGACACTGTTTTACTTTGATTTTTTTTTGGAAATAGTTTGTGTTTTGAAATTTTGTTGACCTTGTTTACTGTTGTGCCTGGATGGATGCATGAATGAATAGTATCTGAAAGTTTGATTCGAGCTAGAATTTATTTGTATGTTTTTATCTCATATGTTTATGATTCATGCTTAATTCTTGACATTTTGTCCGATGTTGTGGTGAACTGTTGTTATATTGTAGTAGCACAATCTGCTTTATTGTGCATCTATTGTATTTTGGAGTGTCATTAAGTTCACTCTTTTTTTAGTGCGTTCGGTTTTGTTTTGAAACTAAAATATTATGCATTGATTGCATTATGAGGAAGTGAAGTGCCGGTACAGTTTTCTGTGTTTGTGGAGATGAAATTTGAGCTGTGTTTCTCGAGATTAAGTTTGAGTTGATATTACATTTGTCCTATGTAGAGAGCATTATATGTGTGCGTGTATGATTTAACTAACGTATGGTCTATGAAGGCATTGTTGGATATAGTAATTCATTTTTTAGGTTTGCCTAGCTGGCTCGCACGTATTGAACTTATTTGAGGCTAAGTTCAATTTGCTGATAAAAATGTGAAAGGAAATATTGGTTTTGTTAGGTTGTGATACTACTTGGTCATTTGGTTGGAATTTCAAAGCAAATATTTTTGTATGATTGGGTGGAATCTAGATGTTATAGTTGTGTGGAAGCCTTGCGTTTAACTTAAGTTATATGACACATTTGGATTTTGGCTTGTCGTGGGAATATGTATTTGCTCTCTTAGACAGTATATCTGTTTCGTCCTGTTATTACTTCCTCAATCAGTTCCCGTTCAAATTATACTAGTTGATGCTCATTGGCATGGCTTATCGTTTTTCATAATTTATGTTTATTTATCTAGTCATGAAATTTACAGTGATGCTACCTTGCCTATACCAATACTGGATGTTGTGGTATCTGGAATTTATCTTTTCGTATTTTTTTATCAATTGTTTCTGTTTATTTTGCATTTTCTTTTGTAGACTCTCACTTCGTCGGGAACAAAGAAAGGTGATATTTTTCTTGCTGATATCAACACTCAACTGAAGCACAAGAATGTCACCACTGATATTAAAGTTGATACTGCTTCCAATGTAAGCTATGTTGCTGTTCACTCTCTCAGCAAACTTATTCTTTTTTACCTTTTTTGTTTGTCAGTTCCAGTAAAAGTTGCCCCGATGATTTGCTGGATTGGGCCTTTTTTTTTTCCTTACTCTCTTTAACTTATAATTGACTCGTCTATCCAAACGTGACGCCAGCTCTTCACCACTTTCACAATTGACGAGCCTGCCCCTGGCCTGAAAGCAATCTTCAGCTTACGAATTCCCGATCAAAGGTCTGGAAAGGTAAGAAAGAAATCATTCAAGCCCCCTTTTTCTTTGTTTACTTTACCTCGTTAATATTTTCCTTCTCATTGACCATTGTTTAGCTTGAACTTCAATATTTGAATGACTATGCTGGGCTAAGCTCAAGCGTTGGTTTGACCGCAAATCCCATTGTTAACTTCTCGGGTGTTGTGGGCAACAACAAACTCGCTCTTGGTGGTGACGTGTCCTTTGACTCCAAAGAAGGTACCTTAGCGAAATGCAATTTCGGAGCAAGTTTCGCCAGTGCAGATCTTATTGCTGCCTTGACATTGTAAGTGTGTTTCCATTTTTTTTATAAAGTGTTAAAGACATTAATTAAGGGCTTGATTGGATATGAGTTATGACCAGTTGGGTCATTTTATATCCAATCATCCAACTTAATATTCAACTCAACCCAACTGTCCAACTTTTCATAAATATATTAAAAAAATATCAATCAATCATTTTTACAAATCACACCAACTTTAATTCACTATTCATTCACTCACGTAATTTTAACTACTTATCTCTTCCAATATTCTTTCTCATCCTTTTACATAACATCAACTTTAATCCTTACATTTTAAATATTATTTAATTCCAAACTCAAATGCATCCCCTCAATCGACTTTATTCAAAATAATTCACTTTAACCAAACAAAACAAAACTAAACTGGTCAAAACATGTTTGATTCACATACAATCGCGCCCTAAATCTAAAAATAACTAAACGACTATTTTCCCCTTGCTTTTAGGAACGATAAGGGAGATAAGCTGAGTGCATCATATTACCACACGGTGAGCCCGCTGACCAACACAGCTGTGGGTGCAGAGATTACCCACAGCTTCTCGAGCAATGAGAACACCATAACAGTCGGCACTCAGCACTCGCTTGATCCGTTGACCTCGGTCAAAGCCCGAGTCAACAACTTTGGCAGAGCGAGTGCCTTGATCCAGCACGAGTGGAGACCAAAATCGCTAATCACCCTCTCAACTGAGGTTGACACAAAGTCTATCGATAAAAGTGCCAAGTTCGGGCTGGCTCTTGCCCTGAAGCCTTGAGTTTTTAGGTGATTTTTCGTTTTTTTTCAGATTCGTTAATGAGAATGATATTGGTCCCTTTGGATGGGGTTTTTTTATGCAGCGTATTTTGGTTCTTGTGGAAATAATCGTATTGACGTTAAACTTGGAACGATTGATTTCTTAGTTTGAGGATTTATGCCGTTATTGAACTTGTGCATTATCTGGCTAACTGGCATTGGCTCTATAATTTCTGCAATCAAATTCTTTCTCATTTATATTGGTGTTTCTGGGGTTTGAAGTGGAGTGTCATGAGATAGATGACCAATTTTTTTTAGTTACTGATTTTTTTTGTGCCAAAAGATTTATATAGTTCTTAGGCAAAGCCTGTGTATCAGAGGTTTAAAGGCTCAAAATTTTGACTTGTTTATTCTAGCTGTGACCACCAACTACTGAAGCACTATGAACTCTATTACAAGTAGAATTACTTGGTTGTTTTACTGTTATATCAACTCTTGATTTTCTAGATAAGGTAACTGTTTTGAATGCGGGTTCATATTTTGTGCTAGCAGTCTTGCAACTATGTGAATTGGCCATCATAAATTGTCTTTCTTGTTTGTGTGTGTGTGTGTGTGTGTGTCAGTGTGTGTGTGTGTGTGCGCGTGTGCGTCCCTTTAAATTAACTGTATAAGAATATATTTATAAAGCATGTTCCTCTTCAATGGAAATGTATACAATTTTTCAGACAGGTTTTCAGACAGAATGAATACATAACTGCTCGACTCAACATGTAAAGCCCCAACAGTAGTATTATACGGAATTTTGAGGACGTGGGTTCAATGAATTCGAGCCATTTTACATATAGGTGCCTGTGCAATATGCATATTTGGAATGGTCGACCTCGATATTGAGGTCTAGATAGCACCTCTAAGTTAAAAAAAATTTTAAGGGAAAAAATTGCTGTATAAATGTAAATTATAGAGCTTTGGATGATTTGTGAGATAAATCTCCAGCCATTGTGATATAGATATTCAGATTTTGCCCATCTAAAGGTGAATATGATGAACATTTCAGAGAAACTCTAAATAGTAAATACTAAAAGGTGGATGAATTGAAATAAAAAAAAAAAATAAAAAAAAATAAAAAAAAAAAAAGATGGAGATGCGGGGTATCGATCCCCGTACCTCTCGCATGCTAAGCGAGCGCTCTACCATCTGAGCTACATCCCCATTGAATAGACAGTGCTTGCTACTGATTCACATAACAGGATGCAGGGTCACTCTGCAATATAAGTAACCAATGATGTATACACTGAAGTTTTGAAATAATATCAGCTAGCTATTTTTAAAAAATGCACATACCACAAAATGGAACTGAGGGAAGATAACAAATATGGAAAATTAGCTTAACTACAAGACTAGACAATAATTTTACAAACGATTATCTTGCTTGCTTTGCTCCAAAATGAACTGCTTTAGAGTAGGAAAACGAGGTTTGTGCTCTCCTAGTTTTATTTAGCTTCCAGCTTTTTTAGTCATTTTTTGGCTTTTTTTTTTTTTTTTTTTTTTTTTTTTTTTTTTTTTTTTTTTTCTTTCTTATTTTTAGTTTTTTGAGGATTTCATTGTATATTAACAGAGGCCATGATAAGGTGTGCCTCATAAGAATGTACAAAATTCTGTTTACAGGCGAAGGGTAAACGAGATATCGTGCCAGCACAAGACCAAATGACTCCAACTCGAGACCAAACATTGGCATTTTACATGAAAAGAGAAAGCTTTCAGATGTAACATATTGAAAGTATCGAACATATTGTATAATCTACTGACATGGACTGCACGGCGAAATGAGCAGCAAAGTGAACGAAAGATAGAAAATATGGAAACCGAAGAAAAGAAAACGTATACATTAATTAACTTTTCAACGTCTCGAATTTCCTACTAATAAAAAGATACGTATCCAGCAGCACGAATATAATAGGCGCGCGGATATGGATATTGGATATTTCGTTTTCCAAAACTTTGCTATTTTATACACCTAGCACCCTTCTAGACATGAAAGAAAATCGGAACATCCATGGATGAGAAATTAAGAAGTAGCGAACAACAAAGCATCCAAAATATGCTGGAAATAAAAAATAGACCGTCCGAAGTCAGACTGTGTACGACTGCTGAATGGTGTCGATGTCGAGATTCTTCAACTTTATAACTGATTCCACATGGCCTTTCAGTGTAGTCAGCTCTCTCAGCCTGCAACAGGAAAATAAATAAATAAATAAATAATCGAACAAACATGTTCATAAAGGTTTGATGCATTGGAGAAAAATAAAGCCAAAAACGAACGATATTATACTAGCTAAAGAACTAAAACAGTGTTGGATTATAATATAATAAATAACAGCTGAGAATCAAAGGTCTCGAATAAACTGTATTTTCTTATAATTAGTGGACGGAATAATAAATTATAAATGTTCTTCTACCTTGCCATCTCTGCTCGGCGCCTGGCCTCCTCAGCTATCTGGTTAAGATCATTGTGTGCAGGGCGTTCACTGTATTGTGCCTCGGGTGGATGAAGCCCGTGAAGTGTCCTCTGTGCTTGTACCCACTTAAGCTCACGATCTTCCTTACCAAAATCCTTCTTCCTTGTAAACGCAATCTATAAAAAAAAAAAAAAAATCGTAAAAAGAATTAAAAAAAGGAATTAAAACACAAGCTTTTCACAAAATTTAAGTCGAGAAAAAAAGGGTGTTTGCGTAGCGTACCCTTTGCTCGATTACAAGATCCCAGGCCTTTCCACTCAATGCATATCGGATGAAGAATTTGATGAGATCTAATGGAAAATAGAATACTATATTATAGAGCCATATAACCCCGGCCCAACCCCATCCAATCCCCTCGATTGCGCAAAACCTCCAATTCGCATAAACAGCAATCAGTGTAGCAATCTGCCATTTTAACAAAAACACACTTCGAATTTATTGAGGTATATAAAATGTGTATTAGATACAAAAATATTGAACGAGGGGTTAAGAGTTAGCGTACTAGCTGAGCAACAAGGAATGCCCCCACGAGAAGAAATCCGGGTCGCTCGACGAACGACCAGCTTCTTGATCTGGTCACGAAAATGAGGGCCTGGCTGACTATACTAACCTGCAAGTATATTGCCGAGGCAAGCATTCTGAAGTTTGGGTTGACTGTTCGCTCGAGAGACCTGACTCCGAATACTCTCTGCAAGTTTTGTGGACAAAAGGTTAGGATAAAGTACAGCAGCTGATAAACTATGTTTTTTTATTTCCACTAAACTAGATGTAATAATTTATTTGTAGTGTCATAAGTAATAACTTGTATTAACTTGTATTAGCAAAAAGTTCGTTTAGGTGACTTATATTGGCGCTTACAGTGAAAAAGTCAGTATCATATGCTGCCCAGAAGAAAATGACGGTCATCATTGCCAAGTAGGCTCCGAGAACGATTCCTGTTGTGAAAATCTCGGCTAGCTTCCAGCTGTCTGGTAAAGGAGAAGGCTTTACCCGATCCTTAGATATTGTCATGATGGTCCCTGCAAGTTGCAAAGTCAGTGAATTTTATTGTTTTTCAATTTAAGCACGAGAAGCAGGGAAAAACTAGAAAAACAGATAGTCCAGAAACTGGGAAAAAAAAAGTGTGAACGAATCAGATTTATCTGGCGTGCGAAAGTGATGGTGGAGCATATAATGCAGGTGCAAGTATACTTACCATCATTAAGTATGGCAATAATCAGAACCATGAAAGGTGGGAAATCAAACCTCCATATGAGCGCCAGCAACATAAATCCAAGCTGTGAAGAACATCACATAAACCATAAATATGATTATAATTATACAACAGTAACTAAATTTAACAAAACTTAGTGGACCTAGAAACACAAATTAAAAGGGGAGGGGTAGACCTAAGAAAACTTGTAAGGAAACAATATAAAATGATATAAAATATTTAAATTTGAATGAGGATATGTGTTTTGATCGAGCACGGTGGCGACATGTGATCCATACAGCCGAGCGTTGGGATTTTAACGGCTTGTTGATAGATTGATTGAACTAAATTTAACAAAACTCAGCCTTTTATGCTATGTCTTGGAAAAAAACAATTATCTCAAAGACGTACCACAATCCGAATAGTGATGGAGACGGCATATATCTGCATGATCGGTGCAGCTAGTTTTAGCACAGTTAAACAGAATGTTATGAGTAAAGGCATATCTAGGAGTGTGTGCTTGTGTAAGACTTTTTAGTTTTTACCGTGTAATTTTTCATCCGCTGAAAGATTGCTCGACTGGTTAGGACGGCACTGATGATTACACTGAGACCAGGTTCGGTCAGCACGATATCAGATGCACTTCTGGCTGCATCAGTAGCATCAGCCACAGCTATTCCAATATCAGCCTTTTTAAGGGCAGGAGCATCGTTCACCCCATCCCCAGTCATACCACATATATGTTTACGAGCTTGCAAACGCTTGACAATTTCATACTTATGCTCTGAGATGAAGAAAAAAATAAAATTTCTAAAAAAATCTGACACAACAAGGGGGAAAGGGAACGCAAAACGAAGAGTAGGAAATATAATATTATTATGTACCAGGGAAAACACCAGCAAAGCCATCAGCTTTCTCGATCAATTCATCGATAGGCATAGCAGCAATAGACTCGTCTTTGTCCTGACCCAATAGAGAAGATGATGGATACATGTTTGTTCCCATACCTAAGCGGCGTCCCGTTTCTTTTCCAATAGCTAGCTGATCACCTGGTATATATTGATCCAACATGAGCCATATTTTTATTTTTTTTTTTTTTTTTTTTTTTTGTTCTTTTGAAGAAAATGAAAAAAAGAAAAATGAAATGCATATTTGCATCCTGTAAAGTTCATATAATGATACAAAGATGTAGCAGTTGAAGCTTTATTTTTATCAAGGTGAATGACAGTTATCTACTTCGAAACTCGTTCAGCATAAAACACAAATAGTAAAGCAAGCAACGGACATTCTCTAGTAGAAATTGGTCACGTTATT